ATGATATTACAAAGAATTCAGCAATTCAGTCAATATACTATGAAAAAATTACCATATCATCGATCTCAAGGGGCTACGTACGTTAACTCAAATTTTTTTTGAACAAATACTGATCAAAACCATTGGCGAGGTTAACGGTCACCCAGATTATGTAGCTTGTTTCTGATTATTGCTTTTTAAATTCCACTTAAATTAACTCGAAAAAAAGTTACCGAAAGGCCCAGAAAACGCTGCAAATCGCATTTCCGAGAGACTAAAGTTCAAAATTTCTCGGGGGGGGGGGGCAATCCCCCGAACCCCCCTAGCAACTCCCGCCTGCCTCGGTTGGCCGTTTGGTCTGGCTACGGCACTGCTATATGTTCTTCCTTTTTATAGACGAAACATCAAATCGACTGGGACTCTGCGACATGTATTACGTACTCTACAGACTACTATCAAGGTCTCACTTTTTTAGAAACAAGCTGGTTTTCGACGTTTTCTAACTTCGAACCAACGCCACTGTGTTACCGGCAACGTGCAAACGACTTATTGACGGAATCAAGCAAAACTAACTACGAAAGAACGACTGGAAAACTGTATCGATATTGCAATGAGAAGCATACGGAACCTACGGTATTTCGTTCTTATTCGTGACAGGGGCGGATCTAGGGGGAGGGTGCAGTGGGTGCGCACCCCCTCCCCCTCCTGAGATGACCTGCGGTTTTCTAATACAACTGGTATTCTGCCAAAAAAAACTATGTGATTTATTGGTGTTGAAGTGGAGCAAGAGACGAGTGCGCCCCCTCCTAAAAAAAATCCTGGATCCGCCCCTGCGTGAAGACTAGAAAGTCTAAGCATTTGCAGATGTCATTACAAAGGCAGCACTTTCTTCCCAACGATTTTAAAATGCCTTTTTAAATTACATCGTCCAGCGGACAGGTGATGAGAATAGACAAGTGTATCAGCTACAGTAGAACATGTTGTATTGATAAAAGCCCCAAATTCTCTAAATTAATGTACATGTAAAGGGAAATGCATAGCAGCCAAAAAGGGTCGTCAGAGTTGTGGGCACAGATCCGGCTTTTCTTCACTGCTGTTTGTCCAAGTGGTCCGGCTTAAAAGACTGCTTCAAAGTATCACGGTCAGAGAAAACAACCGCTACGCTACTGCTTTCCCAGTGTCATTTTAGTTGTTAAAAGAAAACTTTCGCTGTGCCAGTTTTTTAAAAATATTTTCTTAAGCTTCGCTATTAAGCTCAAAGAGCGCTTGGTTTTTCGCACACCAGGGCAAAACGCGAGTGATTGGTGACAAAGCGTAAGGTTTGGATGCACCAAATCATTATTTTTTTTTTTTCACTGAGAGAGAGAAAGACTTGTGGGTTTGAGGCAGAAAAATCACTCTGAAATCTTTTCACCCTGCCTGATACTTCTGTTAAGGTTCAATCGAGTACTTCATTATTGCAACTAAATTGAAGTGTGATAAATAGTTTTTATTATTTTCATTTCCTCCTTGTCTTCCTCTTTAATTATCCCAGGTATGTACAAAATAGAAACTCTGCAACAGTTGTAAGCAAAACCGATACAAAACCAATACTACAAAACAGTGACCACATTTACGATCATCTAATGCCCGTAAAGCAAATATTCACAGGACAAAATTACTTGACTTCAGCTCAAAATTAGTCCTTATTTCTCGCATATACGGCCTTACTCGGTAGAGGCATTGAATAAACTAATACCAAAAGAGCATCTGAGTAATTTTCTAGTACATTTGCGTAGGAATGTTTGGTCAGCCATGAGGATAAACCTTCTTCAGCCACGGTCTTGGCAGATAACGAGCACCATCAAATTCAACAAAATATTCCTCCAACGTCTGGTGAACAACCTGCAAGGAGGAAACAATATGTATGACCTGAACTTCCCAAAATAATACAGAAAGAAAATTAAGTGATATATTGTACCTAGCATGAAACCGAAATTTCAAAGTGACTCACTCTAAGCCACAGGAAGGTCTAGCCATTTCTACGGAGCTCTTTCTCATAACTACCCCTTGTACGGCAAAGACATCTCCATTGTCCTCAGGTCTTTTAAAGGCCCCAACTATTGCACTAGAGATAAAGCCCGCAACATTATGCTTTGCAGACCAATACTCTGCCTTTGCCCACCACCTCACACTTTGTCAGCCGTGAGGTTCTTTCCAGCTTGTACTGACATTCGCATTGAGATATTACCATTACCCTCCATTAAGCCTCCTGGAAATATTAATTTCAAGCACTTTGAGGGAGGGGGGGGAGCTTAATAGAGGGGAGGCTTATTTGAGAGGGGGGTTATTGGATTTAGTAGCCTGTAAGCAGGCTCTCCAATTGGGGGACGGCTCACTTCGCTCGACATATAAAATGGACAGCTTGCTCGCAGACTATAAATTTAGCAAACATGATGGTATCAATTCTCCATGAAGAACTAGAACACAAGGTGCAAAAGTTTAGGCAAATGAAGTTTGACATCATGCAGTGGGAGAGATTAAAACAAATTCGATTTAGTCCAGCACTTGAATAAACCATACCTGATCAGTCTACATTAAGGTTTACAGTCAAGTGAGGAAGTGAGGGGGGTTTAAAAGTGCAGGGGGGGGGGGATGGCTTAATAGTTTCCTGGGGGCTTCCTACGTATGGGAAAATGTTAATTCTAGGAAACCTGTAAAGTGTATTTTGGTGCACTTTGGGACCAGGAAAATAAATTTAGCTAGGAAGAGGGCACCTTTATTCACCCACATTAACTGGCTTTATTTCAGATTTTCAGATTTATATCACGATTCTCCTTATCTAACAGAAGTGATGAGAAACAAATATGATGGAAAAATTATTTTCTGTGAGTAGTTGGAACTTTTAGCCATTTTTATCATGAGCTTATGAAGGACCCTACAGAAGCTGCAACAAGCCATAAAAGTACACTCAAAATATAAATATTACCTTGGTATTTGTGAGAAGTTCAATGTTCTCCTCAGGAACGTAAGTAATCTGACTGCTGGGTCGATCCCGTATATCAACAAGAATAGCATAGTTAGGCATGTCTCGCCAATGCTGCACAAAAGAAATTGATAGTAACTAGATTAAATATAATATAGTCAAAAGAATAAGCATAAAAAGTAAGAGCAATGATAAAAAAATCAATAATCAGAATAAAATTATATCTAGCTGATTTTTTGAAAATCAACCTAACAAAAGTTGCTGTCACATGAGTGAAAAGGCATCAAAAGGCAGGCTTTTAGGGCCCGATAAGCTGCAAACTCACACTAATGAAGAAAAAGGAAAGGATCAGAAAAAGAAAGGGTCGGGAGCAAGAAAGGAGAAAAAGTTTTGATAATGGCTGCTTTGGCCAAAACTGTTTGGATGCAAAAGGGCCATTTGGTGGTAATCTTTTCAAAAATCCAGCTAGATATAAAATTGCTAATAAATAACAACAATCAAAGACTAAATTAATGTCTTTCAACCCTTTAACTCCCAAAAGTGATCTACATGTAACTTCTCCTTGTAATATCAATACATTGTCCAGCAGACAGGTGATGAGAATACCTAAGTGTATCAGCTACAGTGAAACCCTGCCTTACGGCCACCTTGTTATTACGGCCACTTTTTTTTGGCCGCCTGGCAAAAACCACCATACATTTTCTTGTAAAAAGACCCTCATTAATACGGCCACCCCGTTAATACGACTAATATTTTTTACCCATTGGTGACCGTATTAACGGGGTTCCACTGTACATACTTATTAATGTACATGTACAAGGATATGTATAGCAGCCAGAAAGGAGTCAATAATATTGGAAGTTACAGAATTATAAGAGTGTAGCCTGAAACACAGGAACACATGTTCTGCTTGACACTTCCCTCAGACAAAAGGCAAATTGCTAATAAATATGTGAATAATGAAAATAGCTGTTAAGTTATAAGACTGCTATCTATAAATGTTCAGAGAATAAAAGAAAGCTACATGTCAAGTACACAATACAAAGAAAGAAAATCAAATATGTTTACCTTTTTATCACCATGGTTATTCTGTGCCCACAACTCTGATGCCTGTGAAAATGATCAATCATTTATCTAATTAGTAAAATTTGTTATTTATATATAGATGGAAATTTTTCCCCAGCAGCATGGGCTCTCATTGGTTACTTTGAGGTCACATCACATCTATAATAAAACTGTTTCCCGCCAAAATCTCTCAGCGGGTAACCTTGCAAAATCTATGACACCAAAGGCTAACAGTGCACTGTTACCTGTGAATGTTACCCAAAGACCGCTGTTACAGCAAGGTTTAATGAATTTCCAGCTGTATATTATAGCAAATCACTTATAGACTGGTCCCTCGGGAAACAGTAAATTCTGTTTTCCTTGAATCTCAATTCTTGGGAAACAAAATTAATTGTTTCCCTCGGGACCAGTCATTAAGTGTTTAATGTTACACATAATTTATAGGTTTTAACATACATTATTTAGAAGCAGCCTCTTGGCAAAAAAAGTCACAGACACATGTTCTATTGATATTAAGACTATAACAGACAAAGAGGAGGAAGGGCAGGTACAAAAAGCCAAGAAAGTGAAACTTGTGTAGAAACAGGTAGCCAACCTTCAGAACTTTACTGAAGAGTTACAGTACAATGCACAAGGGTCAATTGAAAGATGAAAAGAAAGACTGGCTTTATATCAAAATCAAACATGTCATGCTCTCTTGCTACTTTTATTTTATGTACTGAAATCATATTAACCCACAAAAATCTGTCAATTTTTGTGACTTGGGAAAACAGAAATTAGTGTCCTTTGTTCATGTTAACTGGTGTCCATTAAAGTGGGCTAATTTTAAAGAAAATGTTTGAGCTTTTTATCGGGACAAATGAAACTGTCCATTATATTTGGGTATCACAGTCAGTAGTATTACAAAGTGGGTGTCCATAGAACAGGGTTCCACTGTATTACACATGTTTCACTGACACCTTTCGTCACTATACCCTTGCGAAATGTTTACTCAAAGAAAAAAATAAAATTGTGTAATGCTTAATGGCGAGGGCAATGAGAACAGCAAAAAAAAACAAACAAACAAACAACAAAACAAACAAAACAAAGCAAAAATACAACATGAAACTTCCTGAGTTACATGTTTTATGGAGGAATTAAGTGTTGCATGTGTTTCTGTTTGTTTTTTTTTTTCACTGCCGCTAATTTTCACCTTGGTGGCTACTAGCATTTCTCAATTTGTCACCGCTACTATAAAATTTTCATGTTTGTTTTTATCTCTTGCTCAGTCTATCCATGTTAGAGTAGAAATTAAAATTTAATTGAAAAATGGACTTGGCTTTGTTGTTGTTTTTTCTCTCTAAAAGTCTGGGAAGTCAGGCAATTTACCGCCAAAAAGCATCAGAACCAAAATTTCTTGGATGCATAAATAACCAAATTTTCTTACCCATGGTGCTCCGCTATTATAAAATAATAAGGGATACATTCATTTACAATGCAATAATTCTGAAGCACTAAAAAAATTATGAAACAGGAATCAATTTAGTGCCAAGTGTTTCACAAGAGGAAGGCCCTTCACTTTAGAGTGCTCAGAACTGCATAATATAGGTTCCTAACTTGTCTCTCTTGTAACCCACCAAATAACTAGATAAGGGAAAACCTATTTTAAAGGCTGCAAGCTTTAAAATGTACCTTCATTTTCTCATCCCAGCCAATAATTACTCCACGATAATTCCACAATTTATGTCGGATCACTTGGCCAACTTTGAATTTGATGTGCTTAGGCCTGGGGCTACGTGGCACTGTTGACATACCAAAGTGGCCATTTTTCTCGACAAATTTAATCACTTCTTCTGCTGGACATTCTCCATCTTCAACATCCAAAAACAACAGCATGGAACGTGTCCAATTAGCTATCACTTCAGGCCATTTTTGCCATTCAAGAATGCCTCCACCAAATAGTGTGAGAGACTTTGAAAACCTGTTGAATAAATAATGAATTTAAGGTAAAAGAAATAGTTAAGCGCACTTGGGCCTAGTGGATTGATGCACGTCAACAGGAAGTAGACTTCTTGCATTCTTGGGCAATGCTTTTGCCCAAATTATTGGGCAACTGCCTTCTTTTAGAAGAAAGCTGCAAACCCCACGACCAAGCAAATTCATATAAAACCACACAGTGGGGCTCAAAAAATGTGCAAAAAATAGCACAAAAAGGGGACAAAGCCAAAGGTAAATTCCCAGGGGGGGGGGGGTACTTGACCAATATTTTGGTATAGGTGAGCCCCTGAGGGTTTGAAACCCTGACCCTGTTTAGGACAAAACAAATCCTAAAACACATACCATGTTTTATAGTACAACAACCTCAATTTTATCACGCTGTTTAGAACATAGGACAAAATTCATGCCGTCTTGTTTTAAAGCCATTTATTGGCAATTGCAATAGAGCAAATTGATGTTATAGATAATAGCTCACTTCGGAAAAGAGTGATAGCCTGGGACCCAAACTAAGGGCATGCGCAATTATGGGATCATTTCGGGCAACAAGTCAAGCAGCCACCTTGAATTTAATATGACGAGACATGCAAGTTGTTGTGTGCCTCTGTGCACAAATAGCTTGAGGACCACCCCTGGTTTGGCATTTTATAGAATACCAAAGGCAAGATGTATTGTGCGAGAATATGTACATTTGCTTCAGAATGCTAATTTGAAGTTGAAATCCGATAGCACACAGATTTGCATTCTACTGGTTTTTCTCGAAGTAAAACTGCCCCAGGCACATCTTCCTTTAGCCTCACTTTTTCAAGTTTCTTTTCTTTCAATTGCACCTTCCATTTTTCTATTTTGAACTGTTTTAACCCCACTGGAACATTCCACTTTGCTTTCCACCAAGTTTTCACGTGCCCCCCAAATTATCCCGTAAATGTGCGTGTGCCTAGTTTGGATCCCAGGCTTTCACTCTTTTCCAAAGTGCACAATTAAAAATATCATTGCTTTTGTTTAGTTGGGAGTACAAACAAATTTAATTTAGAGAATCAAATAAATCATGTAGGCAATACCCTGTCTAAAATTATGACAGATCCACACAAAATATATACCCTGTTTAGGACAGAAAGGACAAAAACCATACCTCGTCCAGCGGCACATTCCAGTATGGCCCATATACAGCTGTAAGGGAGTACACCCCCGGGTACATTTCCTTAAATCTTGAAAGTAGCCTATGCTTACATACTTTTATGCACCATGATTTTCCTTTTATTAGAGGTAGAAAATATGAAATTGTCAAGCCTTCTACAGGCAGACCTTTGATGACAAAATGAAATGCCCAACAAAGAAACAACAAATACAGCGTGCAAAGAAAGTCGTGTCCGACAGCCCGGGGCTAGTGGATTTTGCTATTGGGCTAGTGTTTTTTGTTCATAACTTGCCCGACGGGCAAGTGCTGTTTTTTGGGGAAATTCAAATTACAGAAGGATTGTTATCAATCCTGCCAATCAAAAAGGGCTTTGGGGCTAGTTGAAATGACTTGTGGGCTAGTACATGCTATCTACAGCTTGCCCGAATGGCAGGCTGTAAAACTGACTTTCTTTGCACCCTGAAATACCTGGAGGGGGTGGTGGGTGGGGGTTGATGGGTACTTGGATTGACTGTGCCGTAACTAATAAATTTCAGCAGCACAGTGGAACCAAATTAATTGAAATAGGCACAATTGCATCATGCACATTAAAATAATGAAAAACTTTCTGTGCAATCCACGAAGAAAATAAAGCTCATTAGGGATTTATGAACTCGAACTTTAATAATAAGTATCGTATACCGTTACTTTTACCTCTGAACTTACTGTTTTATTAGCTGAGCCCTTTCGCCTGCAGATGGAGCAGTCCATTGGCATATTAAATACTGCAAAGGCACAGCAAGAACCAAGAGAAGAAACTGCAGCGCACGAGGCATCTCAGTTCTGCAGCAACTAGTTATACACGTCTGCAATGAAGAACACTCCACTCAGCTCAGGTGAAGCACAAGATGGCGATTCTTTGCCACCCGTTCGCCCTTTACGACATTCCGCGATGTTGTTAACGAGACGTGTCAAGACATGAAGCTCTTCACCTTAGCACACAGAGCCTGCAAACTTCTTCATCGAACGACGAATCATTAAACTCCACGAAGGCAAAACATGTAAGGGAATCATCCTTGTAACCAGTCCCTCTCAAAGCTAAACGAGCCAGCTGTCTCCGTGAAAGCGGATTCTCGTTAAAGCCTCCTCCAACATGGCGAAAGGAAGGCGAAACTCACAGAAAAAGAGAAAAAATTCCAAGCCAAATGGAGAGGTTCACGATGAAAGTAGTGCTGAAGGTAATTTTAATGTGTTAGTTTTTGTGGGCTGGTTGATCGTTGTTTTTACAGTGGTTGTTTTGGAAGAATAACGTTTCAAACGTACAGAATTCATGAGAATTCAGAAGTAAGCTTATTTCATGTGAAGAAAGCTGCATGTACGAGAAATTTGACACCTATTTATTGAGTTTACTAACAACTGGTATTTTTTTAAAACACTTTCACATCTTAAATGTATTCTTTTTTGGTAAATAAAATACAATGTTGTTTACTCTACTCATCAACGTTGTACTCTATTTAAACCGGAAGTGACATAAATTTTAAGCAAGCTTGGCATTCTATAACACGCGATGTTTAGTTGGATTAATATCGCGGGATGATTTTGTTGATTATTTCAAAATGTCGTTGTAGATGTAAAGAGGTGCCCACACATTTCAAGATCAGTCAAGCTTCAAAACTTGCAAAACAAAATTCCTCACACCACCCTGGGTCAATGTTTGGTAAGTGGTTTTTATTCCAAATTTTTAATGTGATATAGCACAATCTTATCATTTTTGCTCATTTGCTGACTATTAAAATAATCTGTTCGAGAAGTTTTGACGGCTAAAAACTGGGCTCTTCATCAGATTTTGGCTTTGAATCTAACAAGACAATGTTCAATCATTTCCGTTGCATGGATTGTATTGTTTATGGTTTCAGGATTGTGGTGAGCTTGATTCATCAGAAGGACTGGGTGTCTGCATTTGCCTCTTTTGTGCTCATCAGGTATACAACTACTGTTTTGTGATCAGTTTAAAATATAAGTAGTGACAAATTATAACAATGATAGTAATAATATTATTAACTTCAACTTCAACTTTATTTAAATTTGAAAATATAGCAAGAGATACATTGGGACTGGCCTGCAGTTAGCGAGGCTATTCGAGGCAGGCCAGGCTACATAATTTACAACAAACTAGACAAATACAAAGAAATTAGGCGTTATATATATAAGTATATACATTTTACATTAAATAGATACGTTCTACTTAAATGCAAGGACAATAATTAAGGTGAAATTTTAAAAATAAAATACAATGAAAATAACGGACAAGAGAATTACTTTTTCATTTTCACGATGATCGTATCCACATCAATATATGATTATTAGAATGTAACTTGCAACTTGTAACATAAGATATGTAGTAATTAATATAAAGACCATTATTATTGTTATTATTATTAATAATAAGACCTGTAATTCTACGCTAAATAACAATGCAAGAAAACCATATAATCTTGGAGGATAAGGCCTGCTCCAAGTACCAGGCAAACTTTATTAACAACTAAATCACATCAAACGAGTAGTGTCAGGGGGGCCAGGAAAAACCCACATAACCCTTATCAAAGGGAACGGGAAACCTGGGTGGAGCCACGACACACACTCGGACCCTCCACTGGCCAAAAAACCTTAACCTTAGATACCCATACTTCTAGTAACTTCAAGCATCTCAGAATGAGAACGCTTGGTGTAACGCCTCTTAGTGCAAGGATTCTTCCATCCTGCATGTCTATCTTTCAGCTCGGGATCGCTTAGCTTATAACCGTCATTAGACGCGCCACCTGATTTGAGGCTATGTAAACAATAATCACTTGGATCATTTACAAACGGCGAAACATATTTCTTGAATTCG